TTGCTTCGTCAGAATTTTGTAGACGCCATATTGCTGCGGATGCACGATCATCAACCTTCTTTCGTATATCTCAAAATGGTGAAATTTATGTTTTGACTATTCCTCTTTCTTTTAGCTAAAAGTTTCTAAATGTGTATGTGTATGAGTATTAGAGAAATGTATAATAGATTCGCTATTAAAAAATAAAAACAAATTTACGTTGTAAAGATAATTCTATATAAATAGACTAACTAATAGAATAACTAGTAGAATAACTAGTAGAACAAGTAGTAGAATAGCTAATAGAATAACTAATAGAATAACTAATGGAATAACTAATGGAATAACGAATGGAATAACTAATGAAATAACTAATGGAATAACTAATGGAATAACTAATGGAATAACTAATGAAATAACTAATTGAATAACTAATGGAATACCTAATGGAATAACTAATGCAATAACTAATAAAATAACTAATGGAATAACTAATGGAATAACTAATAGAATAACTAATAGAATAACTAATGCAATAACTAATAAAATAACTAATGGAATAACTAATAGAATAACTTATGCAATAACTAATAGAATAACTAATAAAATAACTAATGGAATAGCAAATAGAATAAATAATAATAAAGTGTATTAGAACCAACAGTGTTATCAATCGAAAAACCTAAAAGAAGAGCATATAACTTGCGACAAAAACCAACATAATTTTTAACCTAAAAGGTTAAACGAGCAACGATCAGATTAGGCAACTGTCTGAAACCCGTTGCCCTCGGAACGATCGGTGAATGCAGTTTAGAATCACGTCCAGGTCCAACGGGTTGTGATGTTATTTTATGGTGTTGTCCGAGAATTAGCACACGCGAACACGGCCAGCGACCTTCTTGAGGTCGAGGAAAGGAGATAGTAACGGTAATGGTCGAACGGGAAACCTTCCTCGTGGCTGAAATGCCTGTCGCCACGGAAGGACGCGCCACAATCGGACTCTCCTTTTCTCGGCCATGAAAGTAAAAGTTTATAACGGTACGGACGGGAGAAAGAAAGAAAATGGAGCAAGAAAGACGGACCCGACTGGTGGCAAGCATGCGAATCTCGTGACGTTCCCCTGAGGCAAGAAACTTCTGTTCGTTCAATGGCTATTTTCGCTTCGTAACGTTCTCCTTTTACTTTGTAAACTTGCACTCCGCAGCATTTCCTGATACTCTTGGCTCTTTTACTTCCACATTGCAACGTTCAGTCTACCATTTAACATATCTACTATTTTACATTCAGTCTACAGACGTATATATACTTATTTTGAAATTAAAGGTGTAGTTGAAAAATAAACGAACGATGAAGTTAACCTGTTGGCCTCTTAATTCACTTTCCCAATTCGGGACTTAAATGTCAAATGTTGTGTGGTGAATTAAGTAGATAATACTGAAGAGAGTGTTGGTTTTATGTGAAAAAGCTAATAACTTTTTTTAATAAAATTTTATTATTTATTTCTTGACCATACTCATTGTTAAGTAGAGTAACAGCTATATATATTTAAAAATTTTCTTTTACAAATTCATGCAACAGAGGGTTAATGTGTACATTAATATGTTGTTTGTCATATTGAAGTAGATTATAATTTTATTAGCTAGCATTTTAATTTTTAACAAGTAAATGGTTTTACACATTTTACTAAATGTATTTATAATATTCTATCGAATTTACTATTCATAGTTCTAAGTATATGAGTATTTCTAATGATGTGAACAAATTTTTAATATTTGTTGGAATTGAAAATGATGGATTGGTGGTTGGTTTATTCTAATCTCAAAATTAGAATGTTTTATATTTTTATACTTCTAAACATCCCAATTTGCACATCACATATTTTTACATTTCCAAATTTCCAAGTTAACAAATGATAAAAATTCTTTTTCCATGAAATATCAAGATTACATTTCTATGAATTTTTTTTTCGAACTATAGAAGTTAATATCAAAGCAAGTTCAACAGTCTACCATTTTATGGCCTTGAATAGTATGCTGTCATACTAAATAACATAGTTCGAAATAGTACAAATTAGACACGACTAAATAACATAAAATTATCGTAAAATGTTACTTATAATGTTACAACAGATAAGTAGTTAAAGATTTATGGAAGTAACTACTTAATACTGAAAATGACTACTCAATTTCTATTACGAACATGAATGAAACGTTGATGTCATTGAAATAGTTATGTCACGAAATGTTTATGTCATTGAAATACGCTTACATCACGAAATGTTTATATCATTGAAACAGTTATGTTACAGAACGTTTATGTCACCACAATATTGTAATAAACGTTTAAATCATTATACCTAACCTTAACCTTCAAATTTTTATATCACGAAATGTTTATATCGAAACATATATCGTTTATATTGAAATAGTTATGTTACAAAACGTCACTAAAATATTTCTAATTTACTTTTCTTATCAAATCTCAACCTTCAGATTCTTGTATACACTGTTTCTAATACTATAACCTAAAAAATTTGAGTCTCACAAAGTTATTTGTTGAAATAAGACCCGAGTTTGTCGCAGTGGACGAAAAGTTTCAAAATGAAGTCCCTGACCATTAACTTAGGACCACGTGACTAAATGTATTTATAATATTCTATCGAATTTACTATTCATAGTTCTAAGTATATGAGTATTTCTAATGATGTGAACAAATTTTTAATATTTGTTGGAATTGAAAATGATGGATTGGTGGTTGGTTTATTCTAATCTCAAAATTAGAATGTTTTATATTTTTATACTTCTAAACATCCCAATTTGCACATCACATATTTTTACATTTCCAAATTTCCAAGTTAACAAATGATAAAAATTCTTTTTCCATGAAATATCAAGATTACATTTCTATGAATTTTTTTTTCGAACTATAGAAGTTAATATCAAAGCAAGTTCAACAGTCTACCATTTTATGGCCTTGAATAGTATGCTGTCATACTAAATAACATAGTTCGAAATAGTACAAATTAGACACGACTAAATAACATAAAATTATCGTAAAATGTTACTTATAATGTTACAACAGATAAGTAGTTAAAGATTTATGGAAGTAACTACTTAATACTGAAAATGACTACTCAATTTCTATTACGAACATGAATGAAACGTTGATGTCATTGAAATAGTTATGTCACGAAATGTTTATGTCATTGAAATACGCTTACATCACGAAATGTTTATATCATTGAAACAGTTATGTTACAGAACGTTTATGTCACCACAATATTGTAATAAACGTTTAAATCATTATACCTAACCTTAACCTTCAAATTTTTATATCACGAAATGTTTATATCGAAACATATATCGTTTATATTGAAATAGTTATGTTACAAAACGTCACTAAAATATTTCTAATTTACTTTTCTTATCAAATCTCAACCTTCAGATTCTTGTATACACTGTTTCTAATACTATAACCTAAAAAATTTGAGTCTCACAAAGTTATTTGTTGAAATAAGACCCGAGTTTGTCGCAGTGGACGAAAAGTTTCAAAATGAAGTCCCTGACCATTAACTTAGGACCACGTGCGAAAATTTCACTTTCATGGCTATAACATTATGTCACATACGGGAAATTGTCTTAGGTCATGCAAAATTACTAAATACGTCGATAACTATACACATAGCAATTTGTTACTATCGTGATAATAAATTGTGTGGGTGATGAGCGATTAAGGGCCGTGCGTTTACGTCAGGCTCGAGTATAGCGCAAGAGGTGAAATTTGAATGCCATAGAAAATGTCTGCCTACTCAAAAGACTAGTTTACAACTCTCCAACCACATTATCTGAGTTGAAAAGAATTACAGATATTTGGGAAAATAACGAAGATATAAAGCATATGATGTATACAGAGCATGCCGGAAGCTGTGACCAAAGCAAAGGGTGGAAATACAAGATATTAACGTGTGTTAATAATGTTATGTGCAGTAGTAGTGCATCATGGTAGCTAATAAATTATATAATTACAGTTTGAACAGGCCTTTTAATTTGATGGTACACCTTTTCTATGGTAATTTGGTAGAAATGTGTAAATCTTGAATCAGCAAGGAGCATTCAAAGGCAGTGACTCGTTAAAGGGAAACGCACGTGACTAGGTTGGCCTTCTTGAAAGTCGAACGTTGCTTAAGCAGTAGCATTAATTTGCCATTTCTTTTAGACGATGAATAACGGCTGGGTGAGATTTTCGTAACAGAGACGCGAGATAACTTAGCGTAATCGTGATTCGCTTTCTGCACCGTGGAGTTTCTGATTGTCGAAAGATATTATGTAAAAACGAATTGTATTGTATGAAGGTTTGTAAATAGGGTAAGTCACATGTTACTATTTTACACGCTCCAGAATGCTGTTACCTGGTGTATGGAATCTTTCCCTGCGTCGGTTCAGATATATTTTTACGGATATATGATTGTGTACCATATACTGTGCAGTCATTACAAATTATTACAATCATTTATATAATTGTTTACGTAGTTATTACAATTGTAATATTATTATTACATTCGTAATGATTGTATACTTTCACAAAATGCAATTATTACGAATTATTCTACTTGTTCATTATAGTTGACTCTCTGTTTTAATTCTTCTTTCAGTGATACATATCAATGATAAGCACATGGTGACAAATCTGGATAGTACGATCAAGCGTGGATCAATGTCTTTTTAATTTTTTCTCGTGTCTGAAGTCTATCAAACCGTGATTTTTCAAAATTTCAATTCATTTCGAGTAATGAATATCAGTTCATTGATACATTGATATATTATCAAGTAATAATTCATTTTGAGTAAACTTAGTTCATTTTCACAAAGGTAGCTAAAATGTGGCATAACAGAAGATACTAAAATGTGTATTAATGTGAATCAATGTGGATGAATGTGAAGAAATGTAGCCAAATATACTTAAATATCTGTCAGTAGCAAAATGACATAATATATGAATATTGAAACGATAATGAAACTTACCTAGCTCTCGTTTGATACGTAAACCTCTCAGCTTCGATTCCTGCACGTGCTCTTGCTTGCAAATCGTGATCCACTCCATAGAGATAATCTGTACATATATCATACTTTTGTTACTAAAAAAATAATTTCTATAAAAGTTATACTTTTGATATTAAAAAAAATAATCTGTACAAAAATCATACTTTTGTTATTAAAGAAAATAATTTGTACAAAAATCATACTTCCATTACTGTTTTTACCTAAAGAAAATTATTGTGCTATTTATTTTTATTGCATATGAAAAGAAATTTGATTAGAATGTACAAGTTTAAATAAGAGAATGTACAAACACATATTTACAATTATTTCTAAAAATTAGAACTAAGCCTGTAGAAATTCTTAAAACTGCATATTGTTTTTAATCCCAGTTTTTTATTTAAACCAGTTCAGTGTCAATTTGTTATTTCAGATCTAGCTCGTGCGAATAATAAAGAAACGTTTTAAATAATTCAAATTGCTGTGTAATAAATTACTTCTTAATCCCATTTCCAATAATAAGTTTAGAAAACGAGAAAATAGTGAGCGGTTGACTTATAACCAAGGTAAATGATGCAATTATTGACCGTGTCAAATTTAACTGCACGTTTTAATATATTCACGTACTAATAATATTTGTTGCGATTATTAGCTCGCTGAACTATTAGTTTTTTGTAGTACAATAAATGTCCTTCGTTTCTGATAATATCACTTGAATATATTGTAAAAAATATATAACAAAATCCTTTGCAAAAAATTTTGAATGATTCAATTCCTTTTTGTTTTAAATAATTTTTTAGAATTATTATCTTGTACATAATACGTCATGCTGCAAACTTGTCCCTAAAAATTAGAATTTTTTTCCAAACTACCTGAACAACCGAACCGTTAACAAAGAGTAGATTAACAAGAGGCGACACTAGACAAGAAAACCCACCTCTCAGAGAGAGACAGAGGACCAATTTAAATGCCCAAATCAAAAAAGTCGGAGGTGCGCATGCGCATAGTATAGAAGTATGGCGGTCGAAAAAGAATAGTTTAAACCTGCATATTCACCAGTAATTTATTTGTAATAAATATTTTGTCATATCTCTGTAACACATTCATCTGTAATTTCTTGTGATATATAGTTTTTCATTTTCTTCGAAGTTATTTGTAATAATCATTTCCGTAATACATATTCTTCAAATATATTTTGTAGAGCAATCATTTTGGTATATTCTTCTCTTTTTCAACTTTTCAACGCCGTAAAATTGATAAAAATACCTCAAAAGACAATATTAGTAATATACAGAAAATTTATTACAAATATATTCCAAATTATTAGAGATTGATATGAAAGTAGATTTGCTCAGGACACAAAATAAAGTATAACAGTATTAAAATAATATTACATTAGAAAATGAATGTTGAATCAAATTACAATATTACAATAACATTAATATTAATATTATAATGTTACAGTATTACGATAAAATTGAAATTACAATGTTACAAAATTATAGTATTGAAGTCAATACTAAATCATAAAACAGTATCGAAGCACGTGTTCTCAACTTTTCCTCGAACAGAATATTCGAAAAGTGTTAAGTAACCACTTAAAGGTTAAATCCCAAAATAAAATCGGTCGTATTTGAACGTCAAAAAAAGATATAAATCCCAAAACTGAGATTTTTGCACAGATCAAAACCGGTCTTGATGAATTCGATAAATATTTTTTGAAACTTGTAGATGTTATATAACTAAATTATGCAAATCTTTATTGTATTACGAACAAAATAATTGATTTCTCTTTTACAATAATATATTGAAGCATCATTTTTCTTTTTTTACTCTTTTTTATTTCTTTAACTTTTTTTTATATTAACATTATTTGCATTTTGTTATATTATATAAAATTTCTTTTGTATTAATTCTAGTGCTATTTCCATTTCTATTATTCATTATTTATTATTTATTTTAAATCTGTACTATATAATTTCATATTCGTATTACCTATTTATTAGCCAATTAAATTGCAAACAATAAAAATTATAAAATTCTCGTGTTAATCCATATTGAAAATGTTATGGTTCTCAATCTAATAATTTTGTTACATGAAAGTGAAAAATTTCTATATTTATAAATGTTTGAATTTCCAATTTCCAAATTACAAAGTTGATGAATTTGAAAATATGAATGTTTAAAGATGCAGAAAATTGAAAATCTGATGAAGTAAACTTTCATAATTTAAAAATATGTGAAATTAAAAATTTTCATATTAACACGATTGTAAATTTTGAAAATTGCTTCTAAATCACTCCTGTAACAAATGCTTACCTGAAATATCAAAGTGATGAAGCGTCGTCGTCGTGATTGCCAACGTCACAAGAACGAGGGAGGGTAGCAATCCCAAACTACACCTGAAACATAAAATTACAATAATTTAATTCGTGTAAAACCATAGATATTCAGTAATGTAATTCATACAACACAATAAATGATAAATAATTTTCCAAAAACAACTTCCATAGATTTGTAGGTCTAACGAAACAGTGTAACTTCTGTTTCAAGTGTTCTTTAATATCTTGTATAATTTATGTCTTATAAGCAATTATCTAACTTGGGTAAAAATTATCTAAGTTATCTAACTCGGAGATGAGAATTTGGGCGGGTGGAAATTTGAAGAGATGAGAATTTGGGGATCTTGGAATTGGGGAATTTGAGAATTTAGGGCATTTGGAATTTGGGGCGTTTGGAATTTGGGGAGTTTGGAATTTGAGTGTGAGGATATTTGGGGATCTTGGAATTGGGGAATTTGGAAATTTGGGGCGTTTAGAATTTGGGGCGTTTGGAATTGGGGGAGTTTAGAATTTAGGAAGCTTGGAATTTGGGGAGATGAGTATTTGGGAAGTTTGGAATTTGGAAAGATGAGAATTTGGGCGTTTGAAATTTGGGGATCTTAGAATTGGGGAATTTGGAAATTTGGGGCGTTTAGAATTTGGGGCGTTTGGAATTGGGGGAGTTTAGAATTTAGGAAGCTTGGAATTTGGGGAGATGAGAATTGGGGAAGCTTGAGATTTGGGGAGATGAAAATTTGAGCGTTTGAAATTTGGGGATCTTGGAATTGGGGAATTTGGAAATTTGGGGCGTTTAGAATTTGGGGCGTTTGGAATTGGGGGAGTTTAGAATTTAGGAAGCTTGGAATTTGGGGAGATGAGAATTGGGGAAGCTTGAGATTTGGGGAGATGAAAATTTGAGCGTTTGAAATTTGGGGATCTTGGAATTGGGGAATTTGGAAATTTGGGGCGTTTGGAATTTGGGGCGTTTGGAATTTGGGGAGTTTGGAATTTGAGTGTGAGGATATTTGGGGATCTTGGAATTGGGGAATTTGGAAATTTGGGGCGTTTAGAATTTGGGGCGTTTGGAATTGGGGGAGTTTAGAATTTAGGAAGCTTGGAATTTGGGGAGATGAGAATTGGGGAAGCTTGGGATTTGGGGAGATGAGAATCTGGGCGTCTGGACATTTGGGGATCTTGGAATTGGGGAATTTGGAAATTTGGGGCGTTTGGAATTTGGGGCGTTTGGAATTTGGGGCGTTTGGAATTTGGGGCGTTTGGAATTTGGGGCGTTTGGAATTTGGGGCGTTTGGAATTTGGGGCGTTTGGAATTTGGGGCGTTTGGAATTTGGGGCGTTTGGAATTTGGGGCGTTTGGAATTTGGGGCGTTTGGAATTTGGGGCGTTTGGAATTTGGGGCGTTTGGAATTTGGGGAGTTTAGAATTTAGGAAGCTTGGAATTTGGGGAGATGAGAATTGGGGAAGCTTGGGATTTGGGGAGATGAGAATCTGGGCGTCTGGACATTTGGGGATCTTGGAATTGGGGAATTTGGAAATTTGGGGCGTTTAGAATTTGGGGCGTTTGGAATTTGGGGAGTTTAGAATTTAGGAAGCTTGGAATTTGGGGAGATAAGAATTGGGGAAGCTTGGGATTTGGGAAGATGAGAATCTGGGCGTCTGAACATTTGGGGATCTTGGAATTGAAGAATTTTTCTCTAAAAGTAAAAAAGGAATATCAATGAACTACTATTTTTTTAAATAGCTCCAATCGTGCAAAATTTCATTAAAATCGTCTAGTGTCAATTATCATTAGACTTATGAAACAAAGTTTCATTCAGTAACTTGCAAGTGATCTCATTAAAGAACCGACATTCCACAAAAACTATTACTATACTTTTCAGTAGGTTCTCAAGGTCGTCGAGAGATACTATCTCCTGTTTTTTACTCGTCGTAAAATGGACACTCTCCATCTTAAATGTGCCGAGAAAGTTATCGCTTGTAGCGAAATTATAAAAGAAACCATGGCTGGTAACATTGTTTACCGTTGGAGAAATGGCCTTGAGATGCTGAATCATTTCGAATACAGTGATACGAAAATCAGAAACGAAGAGGTGACATTCTGGCAGAAAAACAACTTTTAGAGACAGACGAAGTAATAAAACTGATTTAAATAGTCATATAAAATGAAACGGGGTGGTGTTTCAGAAAATGTACACAGTATGCAAATATGGCGTTGGGCAAACAATATATCTGCACATTTATTCATAATTTATTTGTAACTTATTTATAAAAAATACTTTGTTATATTCGTAATTTGTAATAAATACGAGTAAATATTTTGTCCTCCATAACACATTCCCCGGTAATTTATTTGTTATAAATATTTGATTTCCCTGCATTCTGTATTTTCTTGTAATAGTTCGTCGTTTCTTTATAAGTTAATCATTTCTGTAATATATATTCAAATATATTTTGTAATCATTTTATACGCCTTTTTTCAACTTTTCAATGTTGTAAAATTGATGAAAATATTTCGCAAACCAATTTTGGTAATTTAGAGAAAATCTACGACAGACAGGTTTCTAATTATTGGGGGTTGATATGAAATGACATTCATTTGATTTGAATTTTCCGCTCGTAGAACTAATTTGGGGGGGG